AATTGATTTAAAGTTTAAGCGGATTTAATTCACTCGAATGTTGATCTAATATTGGGGCTAGAATTTTATATAATTGTATGTTTTGAATTAAGGTTAGTTAAAGCTGGCGTCAGATTTAAGAAGTTGTGTGTATACTTATTACTGCAGCGATTTTGTTATCTTTGAAGAGGTCGTAAATTTAAACATTATAGATGTCTCCGATAAAAACGAAAATCAAACACAACTTTTACCATTAACTCGATTTATACATTAAGAGTTCACAAATATAATACATTCATTAAAATAATTTTAAATAACCAGATTATTAATATAAGACTAACTAGAAATAATATTACACCTTTCAACAAACCCTTTTAAAAATGAACATGATAGAAACAGAAAAACTAAGAACTAACAAAAACAAATAAAACCAAAAATAAAAACACACAAAACTAAAAAGCACAAACAAAAAGCACAAACCAAATTTTTTTTAAATGAATAACATAGAGCAGTCTATTATTAAGGATTTTTTTCAATCTCATGTAACAAATCATCTAATTTATTTGGAACTTGACTAAACTCAACATCTGAACATGCAGAAATCAATCTTGTATATTTTTGCATTTTTTCATTTGATCCATTAACACCAGCAAATAGATCAATCATTTCTTTAACTAATCGTTTTCTTTGTAGTTGTAATTGAGTTAATTGAATTGCATCATCAAAATTCGAGCTTAAATTTTCAGATTGAACTAAGGCATTTGAATAATTTTTAAAAAGTTTTGAAAGTTCATTATGTTGAATTTTTTCAACAAGATTATTTAATCTCTTTTCTTTTGATTGTGCAATTAATTCTTGACGTTTAACTTGATCTTCTATAAGTTGAACACGTTGATTTAATTGAGTCTGATCTAAATCTTCACCAATGTACTCTTTTGTTTTAATACTAATCAATTCAATTTCATCATTCATATTCTTCAATAATTCTTGAACTTCAGAAACATCAGATTCTTTACGTTGTAATTCATAATCATATGCATTTGATAATTCATTTAATGATTCAATCAAAAAATCACTAACTTTATGAGTAGCTTCAATAGCAGCTTCTGAAATATGTGGTTGTGCAATATTATATGTTGATGCTGTAGTTACTGGTTGTGTTATAGCAGCTTGATTTCTTAAATGGGTCTCATATCTTTGTTGAACTTTTGGTGTAACATGATTATTACTTAATAAAATTTCTGATGCAATTAAACCTTGATTATTTTTCAAATTTGTTTTGGCTTTATAATCTAATAATAATTTGATACATTTTCTATTACCTGTTTTAGCACATAAATGTAATGCAGTATCACCATTATTATCTTGTAAATTCAAATAACCTTGTAATCTTTCTGGTGATTGAATTTCAGCTAATTTACCCAATAAAAATTCCATATAATATAATGCTGATTGTATCCGTATTTTAGAAGTTGCACCAGCAGCAATATGATGTAAAACAGTTTTATGAGTTGAATCAAAATCAAATATACTTTCACTTAATAACTCTATTAATCTTGGGAACGATTTCTTATTAAATGAATTTGTAAATAATACAGCTCTCATCAATGGAGTTTCACCTGAATTATTTACAGCTCTATAATTTGCACCCAGATTTATCAAAGCTTCAGCAGCTTGTGGATTACCCATTGAGCAAGCCCAATGGAAAGCCGTATGACCTTCGTCATCAACTTGTTGATCAACATTCAAACCTTCAGGTGGATGTATTAAGAAATCTGGAACTTTTGAATCATGATCATGATCATCATCAGGTGAAGTGAAATATTCTAATAATCTAGCAACATATTCAGAGTTAGCATCAAGCCATCTATCATTTTGATGATTCCTTACGTTTCCTGTATGTGAATTTATGGCTTTTTCTAAACTTTCTCTTGCTGATCTATTTATTCTTTGATCTGGTGATCGTAGTGCATTCATCAAATCTGATTCTGAAAGGAAATCACTTGGTGAAGATGATGATCCTAGGAAATGTAGGTTTGAAGTTTCATCAATCTCACTTGATATACCATCCTCTATATTTAATTCTTCTTCACTTTCTAAATCTTCATCTTTTGTTTGTAAAGTTGTTGAATCTGGTGGTGATGAAGCCAGACTATCATCATTAATTCCATTTTGAGATTCATTACCACTTAATCTTTTGCCAACAAAGACACCAGTATTTGGATTTGGAACTTTTGGTGGATTTAATCTTCTTGGACGACCTCTTTTTTTCGTTACTGATGATGGTGTTGATTCTTTATTTATAGCAACAGGCATACTTGCAGATTTTTTAGCTATACTTTTCTTTGTAGAAGCAGGTTTTTCAATACCAGCTATTGAATTATTTTTAGAAGCATGATGATGTTTTGGAGCTGGAGGTGGTGAATTTGCACCATTTGTTTTTTCAAAATCGAATAATGGAGCTAATATACGATGTACACCAAATTGTTCAGCGATATCTCTAGCTCTATCCAATGGAACCCAAGTACCTTGATATTTACCATAACCACCTTGAACTTTTTCATGAACACCTGTTTGAACATCTCTTTCTAATATTCTTGTACGTTTTGCCTTTGGAAAATTTGCAGTTTTCAATATATGTGTAGCATTTACCCAACCATCAGACCTTCTTCTCATCACAGATCCTGAAGCATGAACAAACTCATACACCGCATTTCCTGAATACGTAGCAGAGTAAACGTTGTCCATGATGGTATGTTATTTTGATTTCAATTTTGATTTTTTTTCACTTCTTCAATGTATTACAGGTATATATCTTTATCTTTATTCTCAATTTTTTGATCTCAATTCAACAAAACAGCTAAAGCGAAGATGAAATTCCCAACGATGCTTCTTTCTTTGTTAATTGATATGATTGTACTGATGGATAACCCACACTTCCTTAGCTGGTTCCTTTTTGATGTTTCAAAGTTTTCTTTTCGTTCTTTATGTCAAACGGTGTGTCCGAATATACAATAAACAAATTCTCAATGCGAGATCCTAAAACCCACTCAGCACAGAAATAACCAGCAAAGCACCTGCTCTTGTTGACCAGCAACCTGTTCCCAGTAATTGCAAGAGATACAAACAGCTTAATCCGTTCTAGCGCTTGCCTGTCTAATTTTGTTAGTACGAGTGTAGAATTCTAGCCGCTGAAAGCCCCCAAAGGTCGCGAATTATAAATTTCACAAAGGTGACCCGGTGATGAGCCTAAGTGGATTTTGGTTCCCTTTTGCAGTGTCATTTTAAGCTGTGATTTGGATCAGGATCCTCAAGTAAATTAGGCGCCAGATCCACAGATTGAGCTCCAATTCCCCCATTGACTGTTCTCAGGTGCCATTGACTGACATACAGAGAACATAGCTAATACATTGCTGCTTAAAGAATGGAAGAGGGACGCACTAACATGTCGTCTCCTCTTATACGGTATCTAAAGGAGCCTTCTTCCAAGGACTATTCTGGGTTAGAAACTGATTTATTTGAACATGTAAGTTGAAAAACATTCATAAATTTTGCAAATTAATGAGTCAATTACTAACATACTATATTAAGGACGAATTTTATGTATACCCTATTGGTGGTACTGATGTTATTAGAAAAAAAATTAATAGTTGGGTCAATCTTTATAGTTTATTCCCTTTGATTGATGTAAAAGATGAATATTTAGTTGAAAAAGTTGAAGATTATCCAACTACACATGCTAAGACACAGAAAACTACACCACCTAGATTTTATGGGGTTTATGCTCCATTAGAAACAGCTAGAGCTTTTGCTGAATTCTATGGGATTTCTGATATGGTTGCGCCAATTTTATCATTCAATAGAGTCGCGCTTGTTACTTATATGGGATCATTATTTTATGAGTATTTTGCAGCTTCTCATTATGATTCACATATCAGGATATTAAGAGAATGTAATGAAAATGAAAGTGAAAGAATAAATATGGATCAAGTGTTTGTTGCTTATAGAAAACATAAGGAAAAAGATGCAATTCCTGAATTAGAAAGATCATTCCATACTTATTTTGACGATATTTTGAAAAAAGGTGATGCTACACTATGTGGTGGTTCTTGGGTTAAAAAGGATGTTGTAAAGAAATTCACAAAGAAACATGGGTTCTTTAATCTTTTATCGCCAATTATTGATTTTGAAGGTAATGATCCAAGTACTGGTAGTGAATATGCTGTTGATATAATACAAAGAGAATTAAGTTCATATTGGAAAGTTACAAGTTCAGATGATTCATTTTATGGATTCCCATTGTCTTTTAAAGGTGGTAATGCACCTAATAGACCAAAGAATAATTCTAGAAATTTCCCATTTTCTCAATTATGTGCTGAAAAGAGATTAAATGTTGAAACAACAAAAGAAAACCAATCACATAAAAGAGCATTGACTCTTTTAAGAAGATTATCTGATGGGTTTGTTAATGTTAGCTACTTAGTTTCGATTTGTGTTTTGTTGAAATTGAATGATTTGAATCTTGGTAAAGAAGATCCAGATTTATTAATTGCAAATGAACTTTATCAAAGAGATCAATTAGAAAAATTACCTTGCGAAAAAGTTGTAACTTCAGCTTCTAAATATGCAAATGGATATTGGTGTTCTATAACAGTTGCAAGAAATTTATTTGGAACTTTCCATATTAAGAAGGAAAATAATGAACGTCGTAAAGTTTATGAATTTTTATATTCACCAGATTTTCAAAGAATTGAAAAAGATACAGATGGAACTTTACTTTCAGCTAAATCAAAAGTTGAAGAAGATTCTGATGATGATATGGCACCAATAAATGAAAATGATTTCCGTGAAATGCAAAATAATGAAAAAGAACCAATTTATTACGATCAAACATTTTTTGAAGATAATGCACCAGAAACACCAGAAGATATTATTGCACCAGCTAATTTTAATGACTATATTGATGGTCAAAAGGATGAATCACAAGGGGAAGAAGATGATGTTATATTCCAAGGTGATCATACAATACAACAAGATGGTGATGAAGAAGATGATGATGCTGATTTACCAACCTCTAGGAAAAGAAGAAGACATCATCCGAATAATACAGCTTTTGATTCAAGTGATGATGAAAATTCAAGTTCAAGTGGTAAAAGACAAAAATCATCAGGTATGTTTGTCGATGAAGAAGAAGAAGAACTTGAACAACTTCATAATCCAACAAATGAGGAAGAACAAGGTGACGATGATAGTTTATTTGGGAATTCACAACCAAGTACTGGTCAGCCTGAAGAGACTTCAAATGAAAAAGAACAAGTTCCACCAATTGACCAAAGATTAAGTAATTTAGAAAGAGAAGAACGTATTGAAGAAACTTCAAAAGAATTGAAAGATCTTGCTTTCAAAATAAATCAAGTTTTAGGTAGGAAAGATTTGAATTCAAAAAGATCAGGATTAGAATTGAAAGGCCATCTTGAATTGTTGAATAAATTTAGAGCTATTGATGATAGAATGTTGACCACCACAAACATTAAACAAGCTTTAAACAGAGCTAAAGCTATTGCTAATGCTTTTGCCAGACAGGTTGACTCTGCTTTAAAAAGATGGAATCAAGAAGTTGCTGATGGTCAATTACCTGGTAAACCTGGTGATCCTCCTAAAAGAGAAAATGTCAATAATTATGATAGAATACGTCCAAGTAAAGTTCCACCACCACCACCAACTCAACCATATGGAAGAAGACCATTTGCAAATGAAGCACCACCAATCCCACAACCTACACGTCAAGGACCACCACCACAAGCTTATCCATATGGGAACCCACCACAACCACGTCAACCTCAACCCAATGGTCCACCTCAAAGATTTGGTAATAGACCACCAGTTCCACGTCCAGGTGGTTATAACTATGGTACAACAGCACCACCACCTCCAAATTCATATCCAAGAGGTGGTCCAATTCCACCAAATCCAAATACTAGAGCTTATCCAAATCAATATAATGCACAACAGGGTGCCCCTCCACCACCTCAACCTCAACCTCAACCAAGATTTGCAAATCAACCACAACCACCTCCAGGTTCAGTTCCAGGTCAACCAATACATCCAGGTCATTCAAGACCAATACCACCTCCAAACTATGGTGGAGCAAATATACCACCACCTCAACCAAATCAACCAAATTTCCGTGGTTCACCACCAATGAGAAATCCAATACCTCAACGTCATCAACCAGCACCTCGTGTATCACCAAACTTGTTAAGACCTCAACCAAGTCAACCAATTTTCATTCCACCTGCATCAGTTAGCTCTGGAACACCACCAATTCCACCTCCACAACCAATTCCAATGGGTTCACCACATCATCAACAAACTTCTGGAATTCCACCTCCAAATCCTGGAGTACCACCACCAGCAGCATCACAACAACAACAATCAAATAGACAAAATACAAGTGGTGGAGCATCACCAAATTTATCATTTTTACCACAAGTTAAACATAATACACCAACAGGACCACCACCAGTTGGACCAAGCTCATCAACACCAACTTCAGATCATTATCAACCAGGACCAGGACCAAATTCTACAATTCCAAATCCACAAAGTAGATATAGAGAAAGACCACCAGTTCATGGACAAACTTATATTGCACCACCTGGACAACGTCCAGTACCTTCAAGTTTTAGTAATGGTTATAAACGTACGGGGCCTTCAACTTCAGCATCACCAAAAAATAAACAAAAAGATGCATCTAATACCATACTGAAAGATATTCAACGTCCATTATCACCACCAAGTAATTATTTGAATTTACCAAATGAACCACTGGATATAATTGATATTGCATTACAAGATTATAAAGATATGGTTAATGAAGCTAAATCTAAGACTGAAGAAGAAGAATTATCAAGATTAGATGAATTTAATGAATTGAAGAAATTAACACATTTTGAAACAAGAACAAAACAAGATTTGTTTAAACGTGCTAAAGCATTTTATGAAAATGAAAAAAGAAGAGTTGGTTTTACCAAAAGATTACATGCAATGATGAGTGAAGCTTATACAAGAAGACAAAAACTTAAATCTAAATCAAAAGCATGAAAGTAAAGGAGAAGTCATTCATTTAATTAACAAATATTGTTGTATATTAGAATTATTTTGCATTTTTTTTTTATAGTTATTTATCTCATTTAACACAATTATTAGCTATCATGGTATATATTTTGCTAAATCAAATAAAAAAAGACATTAAATAGTAACAAAGGAACTTAGAAATTGTAGTTAATATAACTTTTCATCAAGAATAATGTGCTTGGTCGAAAGGGCTGACTTGAGTTTGAATATCATGAAACTCATTGCAATGTACATAATTTTAGATCAATATAACGCTACAGAATGATCAGTATTTGAGATTTCCATTAACTAGATTCTTTCCTACATATAATCACATAGATCTTTATTTTTCAAAAAAATGTATATTAAATTCAACTCTCATGCGTATACGTCATTCTTTCCAGAAAAGAGCATATAACAACATCAAGGTCCAATTAATGATATTGATCAATTATAAAACATCCATCAGTCATAACCCAAGTATAATTTGGGCTCAATAAGTGAATGATTTATAATGATCTACAAATAGATGAACTTTGGAACAACTATTGGAAACGGGTATAAAACGGTGTGACCAAATTACCATTTAATTTTCATTATCTTCATATTGACACAACCCAATTAAAGATACCATAAAGTAACATCATCTATATCACCACAATTTTACGAATGAGGAAAGCTGAGTTTGAGGTTACAATATAACCGATAATTCACGTATTTGTTTATCATCAGAAACGTTGGTTTAGATTAGTTGATGATCATGATTCATACTTTAATAAGATCTTGCGCGCGCGCCGCGCGAACTTTTTAATTTACCCTGAAGTGAAAAAGGATATTACATAAGCGATTACTAAAATAGATAATTATTAATAGACGACGATTTATGAGAACAATTTACTTATATTTACAAAGAATTTAAAATAAAAGTTTATAATTTTCTTTAATAAGTTTGATCATTATATATTAAGAATTGAAAAACAAAAGAACAAAAAGAAAAGATCATTAATCTAAAATAGTATATAAAACACAAAAAAGGTTTTTACATAATAATTGATTCTTTTTCAACATTAGCAGAAATAGATTTGTGAGGTAAAACTTTACCACCATTAACATAAATTTCATCTTTAACTTTAACATCATCACCTAAAACGGTAACACCTTCTAATCTAGCCCATTTACCAACTTCAGAGTTCCAACCAACAATGGTTTTTTTAACCCAAGCGTGATCTTTAATTTCAGAGTTTTCTAAAACAACAGATTCTTGAATACGAACACCTGAACCAATGGTAACATTTGGACCAATTGTAACGTTTGGACCAATTTTAGCATCTGAAGCAATTTTAGCAGATGGATCAATTAAAACATTACCAACAATGTAATCTTTACCTGTAGTTAATTTTTCTGGTGATCTTTTAGCTAATGAATTCAAGTATAAACCAGTACCAGCTAAGAAATCTTTTGGTTGACCAACATCCATCCAGAAACCTTCTAAATCGAAAGAATATAATGATTTTTGTTCAACCAAGATTGGGAAAGTTTCTTTTTCAATTGAAGTTGGTTTTAAATCAATTAAATCAATAACTTCTGGATTCAAGATATATAAACCGGCATTAATTCTGTTACCAACAAATTCAACTGGTTTTTCAACAAAACGATCAATCAAGTTTGGAGTACTGATATCATGAACAATAACACCATATTTTGATGGTTCATCAACTTTAGTAGCAACAATAGTACCTTGACCACCATGAGCTTTATGGAATTTAGCTAATTCTTCAAATGGATATTCACAAATAACATCAGAATTCAAGACAAAGAATGGGGATTTATCTTTCTTTAAGACATCTTCAGCTAATTTTAATGGACCAGCAGTACCTAATGGTTCAGTTTCTACACTGAAAGTAATTGAAACACCATATTCTTTTTCATATTTTTGTAAAGTTTCAACCATAACTTCTGGTCTATAGTTAACAGCTAAAACAATATCAGTAACACCAGCTTTAGCTAAGGCTTCAATTTGATGTAAAATCATTGGTCTGTTAGCAAATTCAACTAAAGGTTTTGGAACAGTTAAAGTTAATGGTCTTAATCTGGTACCATAACCACCGACAAGAATTAGCCCTTTCATTTTGTGTATATAGATTTAATAGAATTGAATAAAAGAAAACAAGATAGTGTTAATAACTTGTTTTTAATTAAAGGAATGTGATTAAGTATTCTTCTCTGAGAATTTTAATTCAAAGTCAAAGAATCAAAGAGTGAAAAACTAAAAAGATGGGTCAAAAAGTAGAAATCAACGAGTATTTATAAAAATAGTAAATCAAAATAAGAAATTGTCGACACGTAAACACTTGCAACCATCGAGACATAACCAGGCTTAAAGAAGCTGGAAGAAGCTGAAATTGTCCAAGGTGTTGTCCAATAAGAGTGCGAGCGTGGGCGTCGCGTAACGAGGTTGGTTGGTGCCTGTTTCTACATGGGCAATTTTTAAGAGATTTAGGGAATGGGAATTTGAGTGGTAAAAGTGTGTTTTAGAACGTGTTGTAGTGTGAAATAGTGGGAGTGACTATGGAATTTGAACTCTACGGTATGGAATTGTATATATTGTTGTGTTGTTGTTGCTGTTGATTGTGTAGTGATTGGTATTTGATTTAATACTCGTGGATGTCGGGATTCTGCAAAGTGTTCAAACGCGTTGAAAAGTAAATTGAAAGGAATTTTATGTATGAGAATTTAAAATAAACAGTTATGGCTTTGTGAATGGCGTTGTTCAACTTGAAATCAGTTGAAATCAGTTGAAATGAACGTTTAGTGACATATTTAGGTTATTGATGTGATTATATATAGACTATAGATGATATCAGAAATAGATACAACCAGTATATTCTGTCTTTAGTATTTACTCTTTCTCCCAGTTACCTCGTGTCTCAGTGTACTTTCTGTCTCGACTGAATCGAAGATCTGACGTAGACTAGAAGCTTTCTTTCCAGATCCAGTCAGGTACAATTTTGACCAGCATCAACAACTTGAAAGTTAGACACTTGAACAGCCAGCTAGAACCAGCCAGATCAGCAACGATTAAAATACAAACACACCCAGATCGAACCACTTTCATCGTCTGCGGTCTTATAAACTGAATTCAGAGTCAAGGAACATTCTATTGTCTTTAAAGTGTCAGATGTTTGTATATGTTCATAAATTTTCCAAGAGTAAAGTTTTTCCATAGTTTATCCGATTAGCAAAGCAATCACTGATCAGAGATGATCACTAAAATTAGTTTAAACCGTTGGAAACATACATAAATAAGACTAAATTTCTTTGTAGATTTCATATAAACTAATGGCTTTGAAGTACTGTTCCAAGTTCTCATACTTTCTCATATGTTGTACCTAAAGCTATAGAATAACAATTACCAGGCTTAGACATGAGTACAAAACAAATTATTTCATAATATAGGCTGAGGAAGGGCATATATATAAATCAAATCCAAACCACTCAAATTCAATTAAATAAACACAAACACAATGAAATAAAATCAACAACTTTGCAATTCAAACACAGTACTGAGATGATTCCTTGTTTGCCTTTAAAGAGGTGGTTTTTTAAGGCCGTGGCTGTTTTTGAAAAAAACGTAAGGTACTAAAAAGTCCTTGTCTTGAAGTGATATAAAGAACCAAAAGATTCCATTTAAATCATTCTCTTTTACCCCATACTGAATACTTTGAAAAGACACATAATCAACTCAATAAAATGGTCTTCCCACCACATTATCAAATTGGTGATTCCACAGTGGATGTCTTTAGTAAATTACCTTATCAACCGGAAAAAATTTCAAAATCTTTACCAATATTAGGAACTTCCAAACCAGGTTATTCTCCAATTTATAGAAATGAATTAGTTATTGATGGTGATTTAATATATCGTCCAAATATTGAAACTTCAACTGTGTTCCAACTTTTTGAATCTGATGTTGGAAAATTCCCACATAATAAATTTCTTAGTGTTCCAAATCCAAATAATAGTACTGGTAATGGGTATGATTATTTGACTTATAAACAAGTTCAAACTTTAAGAAATCAATTAGGTTCAGGTATCTTATACACTTTAAATCAAATTTCCCCATCATATAACAATGATTTCATCTTATCAATTTATTCACCAAATAGATATGAATGGACTTTATTAGATTATACAACTCATGCCTTTTCAATAACAACAACTTCTCTTTATGATACTTTGGGTCCAGATTCAATAAAATTCATATTAAATCATACAGAAAGTCCTGTTTTAGCATTAACAGGTTCTAAATTGGATCATATATTAGATTTAATCAACCAAGCTGATCCCCAAAATCCATCATTACCATTTTTAAAACTTTTAATATCATTTGATCCAATCACCCTAAACCAAAAACAAAAAGCAGAATCATTAGGTTTAAAATTATTCACACTAAATGAAATCATTGAAATTGGTATCAAATCACCACAATCATTAATCCCACCAACTCCAGATTCTATATTAACAATTTGTTATACATCAGGAACATCAGGAACTCCAAAAGGTGTTATTATAACTCATGAAAACGTCTTAGCTTCCATAATGTCAATCCATGCAACTGTAGATATCCAACCTGGTATTATGCATTTTTCATTCTTACCAGTTGCTCATATCTTGGAAAGAGTTAATTTATTCTTAGCTTCCCCTGTGGGTGGTACTGTTCATTTCCCTAAGATTAGTTCAGATCCAAAAACTTATTTTAATGATATTAAATCTATAAAACCAACTCATATGACTCTTGTCCCAAGAGTTTATAATAAATTAGAATCATTATTCAAAACAAAGATTTATTCAACAGGTTCTTGGTCAAATAGATTAACTAAACGTGCTATTGCTTATAAATTAGATAAAATTTCTAAAAATCAAGATCCAACTCATCATTTTTATGATTCAATAGTTCATAAAAAGGTCAAATCACTATTAGGTTTTGATAATGTTAAATATTTTGTTTCTGGTGCAGCTCCAATAAGTGGTGAAACTTTATTATTCATTCGTGCTTTGTTCAACGTTCCTAAGTTTCATGAAGCTTATGGTTCAACAGAAACAACTGGTGGTGTGTTCTTGAACTCTGGTAAAGAATTGAAACCAGGTACAGTGGGTCCTGTGGTACCATCCGTGGAATTTAAATTAAAAGATGTTGAAGAAATGGGGTATACATTTAATAAAAACCGTACTGGTGAGATTTTAATTAGAGGTCCACAAGTTTTCCAAGGTTATTATAAAGATCCTGAAAATACAAAAGATGCATTTGAAGAAGGTGATTGGTTCAAGACTGGTGATATTGCACGTATTGATGATCAAGGTAAAGTTTATATTATTGATAGACGTAAAAATTTCTTTAAATTAAGTCAAGGTGAATATATTGCACCGGAAAAAATTGAAAATTCTTATGTTTCTGGTAATAGTGATTTTATTACTCAGATTTGGGTTTATGGAGATTCTTTACAAAGTTCATTAGCTGGGATTATTGGTGTTGATTTAGAAACTCTTGGTGCATTCTTGGTAAAGAATGGGTTAGATTCTAATATTATTAAAAATGAAACTAAAACCCAAGAGTTATTAAAATCTAAAGATTTCAGGAAATTAGTTTTGAAAAATATAAATTCAAAAGTATTAGGTTTACAAGGTTTTGAAAAATTGAAAAATATAAGTATACAGATTGATCCTCTAAGTTTAGAAAATGAAACTCTAACTCCAACTTTGAAAATTAAAAGACATGTTGCTAAAAAATATTTTAAAGATACATTAGATTCATTATATCAAGAAGGTGAATTATTAAATGGTGGTAAATTATAAGTTATTACGGTACAGGATTATTGTATTCTTATAATAGAAAACCAAATATGTATAATATAATATAAACTATAAATGAAATGAAATTATAACAAGTTGTCCATGTTTAATAAAAAGCTGTATGGTCAATATTTTATTTACCAAAACTTGTCTTTGTATTACCATGAATTTTAGCCATAAAAGCAGCTCTAGCAGCTTGGAATTCTGGATCACTAGAAACTTCATCTGGAACACCCCATTTAGCTTCTCTTTTACCAAAACTTGTCTTTGTATTACCATGGATCTTAGCCATAAAAGCAGCTCTAGCAGCTTGAAATTCTGGATCACTAGAAACTTCATCTGGAACACCCCATTTAGCTTCTCTTTTACCAAAACTTGTCTTTGTATTACCATGGATCTTAGCCATAAAAGCAGCTCTAGCAGCTTGGAATTCTGGATCACTTGACACTTCATCTGGGACACCCCACTTAGCTTCTCTTTTAGATTTATCATTAGATTTATCACTTAATTCATGTCCAATTTTAGTAGTATTAATGAAATAAACTGAATCTTTTAAAACAACTGGTGCAACATCATTACCTAAAGAGACAGCTTCAATGATTGCATTTTCAGAAAATGGGAATTCAACACCTTGTGAAGAACCTGGAATATCAGCTTCTGAAGTACCATTACCATTATCTTTGATGTTGATTTTTTGACCACCAGTTGGAGCAGCGATTGATGAACCTAATAATGTTGAAATAATAGCGAGCGAAGCAAGTAGTGATAATTGCATTTTTGTGTAATAACGAGTGAATTTGTAATGTGATTGATTGATAATAAGGAATAAAGATATGATTGAATGAATACTGAGTAACTTTTCATCACTTTATATAGTATTTTTGAGCTTTTGAGAAGGTTTCAAAAATACCCCATAGACCCTATATCAATTTTACATCATGTTTCCAGAAATATGCCATATTTCATGTCACTTAACTCTTTTAGGTGAAGAATGGGACTTCATTGAAGTGTCAAAAGTAACTTGATGTAATTTTGAATGTTAGCTTAAATAGAGAAGGATGTTTAAAATAGTTGGTCTTATTCGTGATTTTCATTATTGTAGTGATGAATTACCATTGATATCTCTTTTAGGTAACCAATATAGATTATGTGTTACAACGATGTATCAGAAGAAAACCATAAGCCATTGAAGAAAACGTTTCTGATGATAATACTCACTCCATAGCGGTAAAGGCTATTGGGCTATGCCTAAGATCTGTGTAGTTGAGTTTGTTATACAAAAACGAGCTCGGTAAGGATGTTATATTGATTATACTTGGTTGGATATCCATTCACAGAGATCTCGGGTTTACAATTATTTTTGAGTAGTATTCAAGCACTGAAATGATTTGATATGACAATTATATTATAATGTCTTAGTGTAGCTCGAGTCTTTCTTGTATATATGATGCTTGACTAGCTATGAATTTAAAATGGTTGATCTGTTGCGCATACATTCATAGTTATTTGAATGATAATTTGAATATACGAAATCAAGTAATTAGTTTCATTATAATTGTTTATTAATTTTATCCAAAATGTGGTCATATATACCAACCCTTGTCCTAATATATTATACAGTGTTTTGTTTCATGTGATTAAATTCATTACCTTAACAATCAGTTTAAATGCTTCGAGCAAAGAGAATACCAAATGATTTATTGATTATGTTTTAGTATTTTGGCCTCTCTGAACAATATGCAGGTCTTGTCCATCTATGTGGTTCAGCATCAGCATCTCTCTTGTATCTAGGACCACATGGTGAAACAATCGGTCTTGACCATCTCCATGGTTCAGCGTCAGCTTCAGCTTCTCTTTTGTAATTTGGTGAACCATTCAAATAAACTCTCCAGTTCCATGCTTCTCTCTTACCTAATTTTGATTCTAGTTCTTTATCAACGGTGGTGGTATTGACAAAATAAACAGCGTCATTCAAAACAATTGGAGCAATGTCATTTCCTAAAGAAACAGCTTCAATAATAGCTTCTTTAGCGAATGGAAATTCAACACCTTGAGAAGTACCTGGGACATCAGCTTCTGAAGTACCATTACCATTGTCTTTGATGTTGATGTTTTCAACTGGAGCGGCAAAAGAAGAGCCTAATAGAGTGGAAACAATAGCGAGTGAAGTTAAAAGTGATAATTGCATCTTAAATCAGTTATATTGGTTGTTTGATGATTGATGAATAGGGACAATGAAACTCAATTACCAAAACTTGAGATCTTTCTTGATTCTTATACCTTTCAAGTCTGATACATTTTGATCACTGAATGATGAGGCAACTCCATGAAAATTAATCATAACAAACCACAAAACCTCTTTGTAAACCCTTTAAGGTAAGTATTTAATGCGTAAATCATAATTCCAATTGAGAAAGATGAAACTTCATATAAAAAAATATTATATTGTTGTTTAAAGATTCATCGTATTAAGTCCTTTGGAATCCCAAATAGGTAATGCAACACCAAGATTGATTTCAATTACGACTTCCCAAAATTATTGATTGAATACCCCTAGTAGTAAAGACTTCTGTACATGAAATACATATTGCAATAAAATAAGCACCTTGGTGAGACTTTGCATGGTAAATGCTAAAGCTCAAAACGTCAGATTGAACTAGTGTTTTTTTTGTTTTCGGGATTTGAACTGTCATGAAAATCGGTTCAATATTAACTGATCAAATGCCGAATATAGACTGAATCATTACATACTTGAAATTATATATGATCAACTTTTAACGAACACCAAGTTTGAATATATATAGAGCAATAAACTTTCTGAAATCTATAGGTAAACAAATCTATGCATATGTGATTATACTAGTACCAATATATAGATCCATGCTTTAGCAGCAAGCTTAATATATGGATATACTAGTAGGTGTATGGTATAATTATCACTCATATTATTGAACTGCTAAAATCCAGATATAATAGCATTAAGCTGCGCTGTTCAAATAATAGTACTACTAGCTGTTATTTTGTATCAAAATTAAATTATTATTATATTATTAAAATGTAAAGTATATATATAGAAAATTTAATCTATTAGTTGATCTGATAGATTAATACCCGAGTGTAAAATGTTTAAAAAAAGTCCCAAATTATAAGTTATAATAACTACCAATTATGAATCACCTGTTGAAGAATTAGATAAAATTATTAAGAAGAAATCTGAATACCTGATTAGTAGTTTGGAGAACCATTCAAGTATTTTCTCCATTGCCATGCTTCAGCTTCTGGAGCAGCTTCTCTTTTATAGTTTGGTGAACCATTTAAATATTTTCTCCATTGCCATGCTTCAGCATCAGCTTCAGCTTCTCTCTTATAGTTTGGTGAACCATTTAAATATTTTCTCCATTGCCATGCTTCAGCGTCAGCTTCAGCTTCTCTTTTGTAGTTTGGTGAACCATTCAAGTATTGTCTCCAGTTCCATGCTTCTCTTTTACCTAATTTTGAACCTAATTCTTGATCAACAATGGTAGTGTTAATGAAGTAAACAGCATCATCTAAAACAATTGGAGCAATATCATTACCTAAAGAAACAGCTTCAATGATGGCTTCTTTTGAGAATGGGAATTCAACACCTTGAGAAGTACCTGGGACATCAGCTTCAGCTTCACCGTTAGCAGATTCAGTAATGTTAACTGGAGCAGCGACAGTTGAACCAAGTAAAGTTGAGATAATGGCGACTAAAGTAACAGTTGATAATTGCATTGTAAATGATTGTATTTGTAAAGAATGTGTTTGATATTGTATATCTAGATGATAATGATAATTAAACTAGATCTTAAATTCAGCTTATCATGGTAATTTGAATCTCTTTTATAACAATTTAAGTTATGAGGTTTTGTTTTAGAAAACATCCATGAACTAACTTCTAACCACATATATGAAACTCCAGTTAAAGAAAATTTCTTAGTTTTCATTCAAATCTCGTAGTACTTTTGTATTGATAAATTTCCATTGGTGACCGAATCGGGAAATAATTTATTACATCAAAAATAATTGATGTTAGAATGTAATTACCCTTTTTGGATCACAATGGAGCTATAACGATTCTTTTTCCAGTTTTTCTTTGCACTTTAAGCGATTGTTCTTTACTTTTAGTTCAATTTGAGAAGCCGAATTATGCAAGTAATTTTAAATGTTAACAACTTTTATGCAATATAAATTGTTTCATAATGGAAATTCTGAATTAATCATAACATTTGATTCAACCTTTTGAAGTACCTTGCCTCATCAGCTGTTAAAGCATCGTAAACTCCCACATTATTACTCCTTTTGGCCCTGAATTGACGTTTAAGTTGAAATTCATATCTCATTACTTTACTGATTTGGCCCAACAAATGTGTAAGTTGTGTTAATTTTCAAACCACAAACTGCAAGTAATTAAACCAAGTCTGGTGTAATGATCTGTATCATATAATTATGTGGATGTTGATGGTGTCATTGATATGATTTGTGGCTACAGCTTCAAAATTTTATGGATCATAAATATATTTTCTTTTCTAACAACAAACAAGAATATTCCCGAACTAAAGACATTAAAACAAACCCCATCATGAATAATAATACTAATTACAAGAGTGTGATGAATTTTCTGTTCTGTGGATACATGGAGTCCCAAACTATAGCTTAACCACAAAATCTTTATAAATGCAAATGAAAAAATAGAAAGTGAATTAATCAAACCTCACCACCACTCAAACCTAATTTAACAATCATATAAACATTCAAGACAGCAATAAATAACCAAATCAAGAATGAAATTGTTGAAGTGATCCAATTATTAGCCATATTAACTGATTTTGTACATCTATTATCATCTGATGATGAAACATTAGATTCCAATTGACCAGAATTTTCACCATTTGCAACAACACTTGTTAGTTCAAAATTATTTTCAACTTGCTCATCTTCATCAATTGGGACTTCCACTTTCATAATTGATTTTTTACAAGTGAAATAGATTAAAGGAGCTGTTAAAAAAGGTAAAAGAATTGATAAGACAACTTGTGAAGCATTTAAAGCAGCAGCTAACCCACTTTTACCAATACTTAAACTAATAACCAAACATGGAACTATTGAGATAGATCTAGTGACAATTCTTCTTTTCCAAGGTTTTAATTTCCATTGAATATGACCTTCAGAAACAATTTGACCTGCAATTGTACAAACAACACCAGCTGATTGACCAGAGAATAATAATGCAATCATAAAGATGGTACCTGCAATTGGAGCAACTTGTTTAGATAAAAGATCATGAATGGTGTATAAATCAGCATCATATGCTTCTTCTGTACCGAAAAGTGAAGCACCAGAAACAATCAAAATGGCAGAATTAACAAAAAGGGCAAATGTGAATAAAGTGATTGCTAATTCCACAATTGAATAAGTCATTGCGTATTTAATAGCTTTCAAAGTTGGTCTATACTTGAATAATAAATCATCTGCATCTTCTTGATTTTCAGAATCTTCATCTGATGGTAATTTAACGTAACCATTTTCAACATCATATTCTCTTAATCTTGGTTGAACAAGACCTGAACCTAAAAATAAAGAATGAGGCATCACAGTAGCACCCAAGATGGAACAAGCAGTATACATCCCATTATTTTCAAACATTTCTTTAGATGGTGCAAAACCTCTAAACATATGACGAGCATCAATAGATGGCATTAACCCTAATTCAACACAGAAACAAATAACAACACAGAAAACTAATAATGCAACTGCATATTCGAACATTCTAACAAAACTTAATGAAGAACCCGGTCTATAAGCCATCAAGACAAATAAAACATCTAAACATGTAATAACAACACCAGCTGGTAAGGGTATTTTTAACAAAATATTCAATGCAATAGCTGTACCAATAACTTCTGCAACATCTGTAGCGATAATGGCACATTCTGCGAAGAACCAGATGATATAATTCAACCATGGAGGTAAATATTCTTTGCAAGCTCTTGAAAGATCTAAACCAGTGACAGACCCCAATTTGATACATAATGCTTGTAAAAAAATAGCAAAAATATTTGATAATAAAACAATGAATAACAATGAGAATTGTGATTGAGCACCAGCTGAAACTGCAGTAGCATAATTACCAGGATCCATGTAAGCAACTGAAATCATTAAACCTGGTCCAACGAATCTTAAGTATTTTTTCAATACTTTAACAATAGCAGGATCATTTGGTTGAACTCTAAAGAAATTTGTAAATCTTTTACCCCAAGAAGGTTTCCCATTATTTCCTTTAGACTTGATACTCTCCAAATCATTAGTTATTTCATGAACATCAGGGGTTTTCCCTTCAAAAGGATTTGAATTTTTGGTATGAGCTCTTGCAAGTTTTGGAATAGCACGAACACCACCTGGCATGGAATTGGCCAATACTTCATCATGGGAAAGGTATTCCTCTCTGGAGGACGACGTGGCTCTTTGACTCATGGTCTTCAGCGACTGATTAATCTAGCAATATACGTTAGCTATCTGGGTTACTTTGTGTTTGAAAGATGGGCGGCTAACAAGGTATTTAAATATATTCAACTTGGTGTCAATATTAATGTCCCTTTGGGCCTTTTAGAAAAAAAAATAGTGCGCGGTGCTGTGCTGACCAGAAATAAGACACCTAAGAGTTGGAAGTTGAAAGACAATATACACGATATGATCTTGGCTCTGGACTTGGATTTAGAGGATACGGAGTCCAGATAGTGGACATAGTATAAGATAGAAGTGATTTAGCATTACCATGGTGTAATTCGTGTGTCATAGTTGCTTCGTGGGGGTGTTCATTGTAAGAGAAAGAATTTTATAGACGTTGTGTTTTTAGACCCTGAAAACTGAGTCAAAAATAGATTCAGGAACACAATAGACGTTAAGATTCAACCAGTACCGCTAACGGATATGTTAGTGCCTACCTAAGTAGACAATAATATTGGATACTTTGAGACAATAGCTGCGAATATATCGAATCAGAGACGAAGAAAGTTATCAGATCGGAGAATTCAATTCGTTGTATAGTGGGGTTGTCTAACAATTAGACTAAAAATCAGATCATGTTCTGTCTAAATTACCATCCGAGTTGAGCTCATATTACAAGAGAACAGTAGAGCAAAATACTATATAGAGTCGTGTCGACGTAATTAATAATATTTATACGTGTAGGGTGTAGGCAATAAGTTACTATACATAACTCATAAGGTATAATAATTAAAGGTATGTACTACGTACACTGTATATGAATATAAATAGAAACATACTGATAATAAATTGCTCCAGAGTCCAGACTCTGAAATCTGGACCTGGCCATCTAATTAAATTGTATAATGTTGACTCAAACAATGCATACTCTAATCTACCTATTGTATTGAATAAAGCTCTCTGTACCCCTATCCTAATATTATCTTGAGGCATTTTTGAACACTTCTATTAAGTAAAAACATAATAATCAAAGCTAATAAAGATAATATGAAGATTGGATGATATGCTGTGACCAATGAAACTCTATATATTCCGAGAACCTCTTTTAAATATTGTTGGTCAAGTCCATTATAGATGTAACTTGAATCTTTGATCAATTTCTTCACCAATTCTGATTGATCTTTACCTAAAAAGCCATATAACCTCTTGAACAACTCTCTGGTATACACTGAAAGTGATAATGAAATTCCCAAAACGTTACCTAACGATTTTATAACATTTATAACCGTAAATGCACTTGCTTGATCTTTTCTACCTGCTTTACCAAATACAAAAATTGAACATCCTGGTCCTGATGCTCCAACGCCTAAACCTGAAATGATCAAACCAATAATTAGCAATAGTTTCCAATAAAATCTTTCTTCAATTGGTGGAACATATTCATTCACCAAATATAAAATAGTAAATCCACCAATTTGTCCAATAAATGTGATTAAATTAAGCCAAATTCCAGCTTTTATAATAGATTCTTCTGAGCTATTATATCTTTTCAATAACAATCCTGTTAACACACTACCCACAGCTGTGGATACAACACAAAACATTGTATAGAATCCAATTTGGGTAACATTGATATGCTGAATCAATTGTAAATACAAAGGAGTCATGAATAAGACAAAGTAAAACAATAAAGATTGAACACCATTAACCAGACCCAAAATACCAATTTGTCCATTAACAAGCTTTGGTTCAATTAATGTTTCAACTGCAATGTATCTTTCCACATAGATGTATCCAATTATCGAGGAGAATAATGTAATATATAAAATATTTTTAAAATATGTTGGATATCCACCATCATCTGATACTAAGAAGATTATACTTGAAACAAGAAAGTTTGAAGTTATAATCCCACCAAGATCAATTCTTTTCAAATTTTTTTTCGAGAATCTTTCAGGTCCTTCAGGTATATGATCAACTTTTATTTCAACAAATGAGGTAATCCCAATACAAATCAATACCAATGGAACTTGACTCAAGAACATCCATCTCCATCCAATAGTTGCAATACAAAGACCACCTAATGGACCACCAAGCATCTTGGAAGTATTATCAACAACTGATCCATAAGCTGAATACATAGGTCTTTGACTTAATGGAACAACATCACTAATAATTATTGAAGTTAATGTCATCATTCCAGAACCACCAATCCCACTAAGCGCACGGGATAAACTTAATGTTTCAACATTGGTAGAAATACCAGATAATAATATCCCTAAGCCAAATAATGCCTGTGCAATGATTAACAAAGTTTTTCTTCCAATAATATCTGATGTCTTACCATATAAAGGCTGAAAAGATGTTGAAGTTAATAAATAAGAAACAGCAATCCATGAAACTAAATTTGACTGACCAAAATCACTTGCAATATTTGACATTGTAGTGGAGACAATTGTACCATCTAGAGCACATAAGAAATTACCAATCCATACAGCAATTAATGCATACCTTGAGTTCTTATCCAATTTAAAAGTTTTCTGTCCTTGATTTATAGCAGGATTAGCTAGATCTGGTGTACTATCACGATGAACTTGATCTCTTTCCAGATCCCTCAAAAATGAATCTTCAGAGTCTTCTGAGTGTATTGAATCATTTGAGTTTCTTGAACCTTCTGGCGATGATAAAACATCTGTGGTTGTAGTTGTGGTACTTTCTTTCTTTGGTGATTGAACGTTTTGTAACTTAACTGATGTCATTGTTCTAGCTCTAGTGACTTTCTCAAATGTATTATATCTCAATTTAGAAAATCAATGAACAAAAGAATTATTCTACCTCTTGGTATTGGCCTCCATCTAATACTCTGAATAGCTCTTTAACGCTCTTTTGTAATTAGAATTAGATCAGAAATTATTCGTGATGATCTTCGGTTATATATCCGCATTTGGTAATGCACATCAAGACACCATCTATGCACATTGTACATCACACATAGATAAGAAAGAAACAGTCAAATGTGTCAAAAAAACACAACAGATGTATACGAACTTCAAAAGATTTGTTTTTATTGAATATGAACAAATAAATGCAAAAATGTGTGTTCTATAAATATATTCTAGTATCAAAGTTTCAGTCCCTTTTGAACGTTTCGGTTCAATAGATAAATGATCGATAATCCAAATATTGTCATGATGAAGATTGGTTGATACGACTTAGATAATGAGTCTCTATAAATGTTCAAGACATCTTTGAAATACTGTTGGTCTAGCTCATCAAATATATAACTTGAATCTTTAATCAAATGATCAATAATATCCTTCTTACCTTCACCGAAGAAGTCCCATAATTTTCTTTGTACTTCCTTATTGTAAACTGAAAGTGATAATGAAAGACCAAGAACATTCCCTAAAGATTTGATAACATTGACTGCAGTTTGTGTACTTGCTTGATCCTTCGCACCAGATTTACCTATAATAAATAATGCAACACCCGGTCCAAATCCACCAACACCTAAACCAGAAATTGTTAATGATAATATCATGATGATTCTCCAAAATAATGATTCATTAACGGGATTAACCAATGAGCTCAACATATACAACATTGAGAATCCAATAGTTTGAATCATAAATGATATTGCTGATACAGAAATACCTGCTTTCATTGTTGATGCTTCAGTTTGATTATATCTCTTAATAACAGAACCACCAATCATGGCACCAATTGCAGATGATACAACACAAAACATTGTATAGAATCCAATATGTGTAACTGTGATATGTTGAATCAATTGTAGGTAAAGTGGAACAATAAATAAGATCAAGTAGAATGATAATGAATTGATACCATTAACTAGACCTAATACACCAATTTGACCTTTCATCAATTGAGGATCAACAAGTTTTTCCACTGCAATGTATTTTTCCACAATAACATATCCAACGAGCGAAATGATTAATAAGGCATAGAGAAAATATTCAAATGGTTTTGGATAGCCTCCATTATCAGATAACAAAAAGATAATACTTGAAACAAATAAATTTGAAGTTAAGATACCACCAAAATCTATTCTTTTGATATTCTCTTTTGAAAATCTTTCAGGTCCATCAGGAATATGGGCAACTTTAATCTCACAAAAATAAGTTATAACCATACAACCAATGATGAAAGGAACTTGGATCAAAAACATCCATCTCCATCCAATAGTAGCAATACAGAATCCTCCAAGAGGACCCCCAAGCATTTGTGAAGTATTAACGATAACAGTACCATAAGCAGCATACATACTTCTTTGAGTTAAAGGAACAACGTCAGAGATGACTATACTTGATAATGTGAAGATACCAGAGCCTCCAATACCACTTAATGCTCTTGATAAACTTAAAGTCTCAACATTTGTAGAGATACCTGATAAAAAAATACCAATACCAAATAATGCTTGTCCAATAAGTAATAATGTTTTCCTACCCAAGATATCTGAAGTTTTACCATATAATGGTTGGAAAGCAGTTGAAGTCAATAAATAAGAAACAGCAATCCATGACACCAAGTTTGATTGACCAAAATCACTTGCAATATTTGACATTGTAGTGGAAACAATTGTACCATCTAAAGCACAAAGGAAATTACCAACCCATACAGCGGTTAAGGTATATTTGAAATTGCTATCAGCTATAAATGGCTTGATAGGCGCTGTTAAGTCTGGACCTGGCCTTGATAGGTCACCAACTTGTTCTTCTTCATCAATCAGATCATCTATGAGTGAACCATTGGATCGACTTGACTCGTTTGAATCTCTTGATGAAGGTGTTGTTAAAATGGTTGTTGTTGTATTCAAATCATGATTTTTCCTTTTGGGTGATTGTGACAGTTCATGCAGTTCAATAGGGGGCATATTCGATGATGTGCACTTTGTGTGTGATTTATTTGGATCTAGACTAACTTTTCTTAGTTATTACCTTGTTGTTCTAGGATCCAACTAGATTTAATTCATGGATCTTTAATCTTGGACGTAATAGTATTTTGCCTTTCTTGATTTCAGCTTATCAATTTCTCGGTTATATATCCGGATTCGTAACCCCATAATAACTTAGTAGTGCTTAAAAGTTGACTCATGCTCTCATGCTAGAACAACTTACAGGGGTTATATATATACTTAACCGAGTAACGTAGATGTGTCTTAAAAGACACATTCCGACAAGCTTAATATCCACTAAAGAAACCTAATCACAAACTTAGACACATACACATTATGCTAATATATTTTAGGTTCTTGATTCTTGAATCCTCAACCTAGTTGCTATTCATGAGAATAGCCGTTATGTTTGATATTCAGGTACAAGATTGGTACCTTAACCTCATTGAGACGATCATCAAAGCGTATAGTAGTATTATGTATACACTGTTTCGTTAATAAACGAGGAATATAGATGACTGATAACTGCATTGAGGATCCAAAAGTTGTACCTCAAAAGCTACGAAAGTCAGAAGCTCAAAGGTATATGCTCTTGATATAGATTGTCATATAGGATCTAGAACCATCTTGGTGAATACCGTATATATTGAGGTTGCGTTTTGAGAACAAGGAATATAAAGATGATCGAGATTGAAACTTAAGGTTATAACTTATCAACAAGTACAGGATCGCCTCAAACTTCGATCCAAGAAGTTGCTGCTATAGGGTGCAAGGTCTGATGAAAAGGATATAACGCTGTTAAAGGTAGGTGGTACCAAAAATCCAGCTGATGAAGGTTCATCACCAATGATATTTGGAAAGAGCCTAGGAGTAGGAAATGAATCTAGACAGGATACTCAATTAAACAATCCGGAAAGTTAATGTGAGTTATCTCCTGCTGGACAGGATCTAGATTTAGGTATTGAATTAAACATTTTTGAGAGAGATGTTGATATTAATTCATGAAGTAATGGTTCAAGTAAATGACCATTAGTTCCACTCCAGTATTGGTACACACCAGGGAAACCAGATCTATGCAAAGGACAATCGGGATGCTGAATCATGTGATGGTGATTCAAAGAAGGGATCAAGTTCATATAAAGCACAAGACTTTATGTCTATAACTAGCTCAAGGTATAGTTGTTTGTTTACAACTGAGCATTTGGATATATTATACATACAGGAAGAAAAAGAATCACATATATGAATAAGGTGGTTAATCAAGTTGAAAATTATATTAACTTTGATGCTGTATGACAGCTAGTGAAGGTTCACATATTGTGGTACAATTCAAGTTAGTAATGTTAATTAAAACGTTAGAGTCTTAGAACTATTGGTAGTTTAGAAGTTGGTATTCTAGGGATATTTGTGGTATAGGGAAATTTCTGAAGAATTAATTCGCGGTGTCGATGGCAAATTACAGAAATTTAATCCGAAACCATGATTGAACTTTACCAAAATAAAGAAAGAAAATCAAGTGTTATAAGACTTTTAAGAGACGATTTCAATGGAATAGTATCATACTATAATTATGTGATCTAGGTAGTATATACCTGAAGGAAACATGTTGTGAATTTGGATCAAACGTTTAAGCTCAGGAATTTGAAGTTCATAGATGATTTTGAATTCATTAGTTGAAGAAATGAATTGGTTGAAGAAATGGTCTGGAAAGATTCGTGTTGATCAATTAAACTTCGTTGTTAAATAAATTCAGTTTACATGTGATTATGCTCAAGATTAAAATGTGATTCAATGTGATTAGAATTATAAAGTATTATATCCAAGGTACATAATGGAAACATTAGTTTCAATGTTAAGTTTGATGTTGAAAATACTAGGGAAATCGATCATGTATCGATCTAGATCTAGTGAAGCTACTCCAAACTCTAGGTCTACAGATGATAAGGAATTTCAATCATTAATGGGATAGAGTTAAGAGTTAAAAATGGTTTGTGAAACTGTTGATTATTGTTTTTGATATAGTAAACATACTATATTAAACCTATTGAAGGTTGTGTTGGTAGTACTAGGATTATACATATCTCGGCCAAGATAGTGTATTAGTATGAGTATTAGTATGACACAAGAAGAATAAATATAACGTTCTGGAGAAAAGGTTACATGGGGATCAATCGAAAGACGTTTTGGGATACCCAGTATATTGGAGACGTTGGTAGCGGTATGAAGAAATATGTGCATGTGAGATCGAGTGACAACTTAAGGAACAGCAAAGCCTTGTTACTCATGAAATACCATCAAAAGTGAGAGAAGCCATCCATGAATGAACTTCATGAAGATGATGAGAGCAGCCCTGCTAGCTCGAGTGCTACTGAAAACGTCATATACCAGGGGTATCATTACCAATAGGAAGGAATAAAAGAAGAAGGAGTAAAGAAAAAGGAAAAATCAGTTATGTTTGTTATTTGCTTATACGCTATTAAGAATATTAGTGGGTCATGGTTATCTCAGATCATAAGACATACATACTTTTTCTGGTAATGAAATAAGAAGGATAAGAGGAAAATTGAGATTATAAGGAGAAGTGAAATTAATCTCAAGTAAGAGTCAAAATTTATTTCAAATTTTGATTTAATTGTTTATTTTTATAAGAAAAATTGTGATTTAATAGAAATCATACAAGTTTAATACAGATACTGTTGTTTTATTTGTGAATTATACATTTGAATAAGGTTATACAAATATTAATTTGAGAATATTTGGGAAGATGTTAATTAATTATCTCCAAAGGAGGTATATAAGGTTCTATATTGTTTTGATCTTTAACATCATAAAGTGTTATTTTAAAGGAGATTTTGATCTGTCAAGTGTGGTCTTTAAAGGAGTATAAATATAAAAGACAGATTTGATATAGATGGTTTAAAGATTAAAAAGATAATT